TTGCTCTTCCAGAATGGAAAGGCGAAGGCCCTCTTCTTGGCCGCCTCGCCTGTTGAGTCCGCATCCGGGAGCGTAGTTTGCCTCGGGGCTGTGGCCCAAGTGGCGCTCGGCGCCTCGGTCGCGTTCGGCTCCGATTCGGGCCTCGACGAACGCTTGAACCAGGACTTCTTCTTTTTCACGGGACCATTCGCTTCCTGTGGCGGGGGCTCGGCCGCGTCATCATGATGCTCATCTGCGTGGTATGCGAGTTGACGCTGCAGCTTGCGTCCGAAGTCCTCTGCCGTCGACTTCTTGCGAATATTCAGCGGCTGGGGCGCCTTGACTGGACTCTGCGCCCCAGGCGAGTGCACGACTCGGATCGACTTCTCCACTTTGCTGAGATACTCCATGCCGTGGTCCTTCTCGCGTCCACGCGTCGCCGAGCCATGGGGAGGCGCCGAGACGATCCGCGTACCGTCGTTGTTGGCTGTGGGCTGGATGCCTGCGTTTTCGTTGATCGACGGCAACGTGGAGAGCTTCCTAGTCGCCTGACTATAGGCCGGCGCCGAGGCAACCCGACGATCGCCCTGTTTCGGGATTAGGACGGGCATCACCAACCTCGTGGCCTCCCCAATGATTTCGGCGTCATCGTCGCGCTCGTCCGAGGAGTTGAGTCCATAGTCGGATTCGTACGATGTCGTAGCCAAGCCCCTCTTGGAAACCTCTTCCGGAGGAAGTTTCGGCAAAGGCCGGCTGTGCCATGACGCGCAAGACGCTTCCGTCGCAGGGGTCGTGACGGTTGGGCTATCGAGTGCCAAGGAAAACGGCGTCGACTCCCGGCGCTTCCGCTCTCCGTCGGTCAGTGATCCGCCCACAGAATCGTCTTCGATGAGGGAGCTTCTGAATGCCTTATCGCAGTCCTTGGCACAGTTTTTACTGAAATGGCGCAGCTCCTCGTTGAATATCATGGAGACGCCGCCCTTTGTGACGATGCGAGTGACGGGTGCCCCCTTGGCCTTGGGGTACACCCCATTCACTAGCTTGGCATCTCTGGCGTGGTCGGCCGGCCAGATTCGAGTCGGGGCACCGAGCCAATTCCAGCGGCGAGGCCAAGACCTGTGGAACCTGTCTTGGAAGCCGGCCCGACAGAGGAGGATCGCTTTCGTATGTGGGTGAAGTCGACTCCTCGTTTATGTCGCTGGCCTGGTGCTGAAACGTGAGGCACACCCTGCCTGCTGCTGCGGAGAGATGCTAAGGAGCCTCTCGACGACTGTCTGGCAGTCATGGACGTCCGGACTGAGCTTGCTGGACCACGTCGAGCGGCGGAGCTGCTGCGATGTCTCGCAGTCTGCGACACGTTTGGGCTGCCCTGGGCGTCGCGGTGAATGACAATCTTGGCGTGGCTGACTTCGGGGTCGCAATTCTGGAGCATGCGGCTGCCTCTGTAGGGGTCATAGCTCTTGTCCGTGTCGGTCTCGGTGTCGGCAGCGTTAGAGATGACTGTGAAGCGAGAGACGGATCGGCCATGTCCGTTAGCTCGCGGCTGCGCAAATTGGCAGGTCGACACTCGCTTCTTCCAAATCGCAGGCTTGAGGTGATGGTAGTCGCTCATGGAGCGCGCAATTTCTGGCTTAAAGTCCTCCAACTGTTTGTCCCGATAGTTGTAAAGCAACCAGTAGAAGGCCTTTTGGTCATTGGGCCTAGAATCAATCTCAAGTCAGCCCTTGCAGTATTCCATTCGGGACGCGTACGACTCACTCTTCGCACAAAAGCTTGAACGTCAGGTCCTGTTCGGTGAACATGTGCCACATGGAGCGTAGCTGCCGGAGCAGCTGGGGATCGATTTCCTGTGACGGCACCGGCGTGTACTGAAACCCTTTGCGCGTGTCGGGCAACTGCCCGCTGTTGTCGCCAAAATCATCGAGATAGCTGTATTTCTGGACCACGGGATGGCGCCAGATTTCCTTGAGAGAAATGCGACGATCCGGATTGACTTGGAGCATACGTTTGATGAGGTCCTCAGCCTCGGGGCTGAGGCATTTCGGCATCTCATAATTTCCCTTTTTGGTTTTGGCCATCATGACGCGAAGGTCTGGGTCGTCGAAAGGGAGCGTGGCGGAAAGCATGGCGTACAAGATGACCCCAAGACTCCAGATATCGGCACGATCGCCGCGGTATTGCCGGTTCTTGAGAAGCTCTGGGGCGGCGTAGTGAGGGCTTCCGCAAGCCGTTGCAAGCTGGTGATTAGCCGTCTGGTGGAGAGCAGCCATGCCGAAGTCGGCAATCTTAATCTGCAAGTCGGCTGTGATGAGAATGTTCTCGGGCTTCAGGTCGCGGTGGCACACGTTGAAGGAGTGACAGTAGGTGATGGCGCTGATCATTTGACGGAAAAAGTACATGGACACCTCCTCCGACAGTCGGCCCTTGGAGTTGATGAAGGTGAAGAGGTCGCCCTGATCAATGTACTCGAGAATCAGATATCTGCGTGGCTGTCAGTGTACCGCAAACTGGTTAGCCAACGGGGCACACGCACATTTCCGAGCGGTTCTCCCAAATGTCATAGAGCTTCATGATATTGGGGTGTTCAATAAGCTTCAGAATGGCCACCTCGCGCTCAATGGCCATGGGCACGCGCATTTCGCCGTTGATCTTGTCGGGAAGATTGCTGTCCCATTTGCTGAGGGCAGCCAGGCTGCTGTCTTGAACCAGGTAGGCCATGCGGCGATTGACGATTTTCACAGCTGCGAGCTGATTCGTGATGCTGTGACGGCATAGTCGAACGCGAGCTGACGAGCCCTTGCCCAGGGTACGTCCGAGCTGCCACGGCCCAATGTGCGTCTTGTAGTTCTTCTTGATTCGGCTGCTTGACGTCGACGCATACGAGGCCTGAGAAAGTCGCTTGCCGTCGGCGGCGGGCGGTGGCGGCGCGAGGACAGCCGACGCAGACGCGTTGGCGGCGACTTGCTGAACGTTGGACGTCGCAGCCTTGGAATTGGCGGCGACATGGCGAGCCGCCTGCGACTGAGAGGCTTCGGCGTGGTCGTATCGAGCCTTGCCGGTCTGCTGCTCGTTGGCGGGGAAGGGAGAGTTGATGCGGTTCGTGGTCTCGGCCAGGGGAGCGCGAACTTTGGCGCCAACGGCATCCGCCATGATGTTTCGACGCGATGGGGGCTGGATCAGCACATGCTACTCGGAGACGATGCGCGAGAAGTGAAGATTGGCTGCAGCCGGGTCGGGGAGCTGCGGTACGATGACGAGCCGACACAATGGGAGTGGGAGACGGCGCGGTCTTTCGAGGTAGCTGCACTTCTGACGACGATACCGACGATGGGACGCGGGGCGGGAGGCTCGAAGAGAAAGATGCAGACAGAAGATGAGGGCAATGATGAAAGGGTGGGAAGAAGACGAGTGTGCCGGGTGCAAGGCGAAAGCGGGCGAAAGAGGAAAAAGGTTCGAGGCGTGGGAAATGCAGCTCTGTCAACGAGGAAGGCAAGGTAGTGCGAGAGCTTGGAATGCAATGTTGACCTCACGGTGGCGGTGGTGTTGGCGTGGACAAGGGAGAAGAGGGGGACGGCAGGCTGCTGCTGGTAGCTACTGCTGGTAGCTGCTGCTGGTAGCTGCTGCTGGTGGCTACTGCTGCTGCTGCTGCTGCTGCCGCTGCTGCACTGGGTCTTGCCCTGGCCCTGATATGGGCCGAGCCAGCAACTTGGGCCTCTACCGTGCGG